CCCCAAAACCCCAAAACCCCAAAACCCCAAAACCCCAAACTCAAGGGGACTTATTGAACTTAGTCTAATTTTACCTGAGATACGATCACTGTAATATCATCTTTCTTCCCTCCATAGTAATTCTTTGATTTTGAGGCAATTGAGTTGATTTGGAATGGAGACTCAAACTCTTTGTCATGAGATTGATCAAACGCAATCTTAGCTATCTTTTGAGACGCTTTTTGAGGGTCATTAAGATTCCCGTCATTGTTAACTTCTTCCTTGATGACTGAGATTATTTGGTCATCGAATACATTATCCCAGATTCCATCTGTAGCTGCAATGACAATGTCATTGTGTTTGATGTTGTGCACTTCGTCGACTCCTTTGTAAGGATGATCCTTAGTTGGTCCACATTGGTATGGACAATTGAAGTAATGCTGTTGTTCACTACTTCTGTAAATTTTATTGAGCTTATAAGGAGCTCTAGGGTCATGAGGTCTTAAAATCATGTAAGAAGAATCTCCCATTAAAGTTGTTCACAATTTCTGATTATTAGGATCAAGGATAGCAATAATAACAGTTGTAGATCCTAATTCTGTTGTTTTCCCGTAAGCATCAGTAAGGATTTCTTTAGGAGTAGAGTTTGGGTTATTGTCATATGCCTCCCCAATGAGACCCATGAGTTGTTTGGAATACTTGGCAACGTCAACTCCCCTCTTTGCCCATCCTCCTACTCCATCAGCTACTGAGATCATTCTTTGCTTAATAATAAAGGAGTCTTCTCCTCCTTTATATTCTTTCTTGGGATGAGGTCTCAAGGTAGCTCCAGACTTCAAGAATCCGTAATTTTCCAAAGCAAAGGTTGGGTTCTTCATTGAATAATAATATCCAAATCCAAGGGCAGCAGCTGCTGCTGTGAATTTAGAGTTGAAAAGGTTAGATACTTTCATATTTAAAATCTTTTAAAAGCAATTTATATAAACAGGGAAGGGGTTTTGGGGTTTTGGGGTTTTGGGGTTTTGGGG